TACGTGGCGTCCTGCACTGATCCAACGAATTATACCAACCGCGCGCGCGCGTGCGTCGTTCCAATACTTGTGCGCGCTGCGCTGAATAACAAAACGAACTACTAATTTAAATTTTCCTACAGTGCTTCTTAAGAATCACCGTTGGAAATGCCTTCTTTCGTTGCTTACTTCAAAATGACAGCTTCCCAGAAAGAATAATTTCACAGGGAGTTTAGTCCCCTTACTATCTTTCAACCAAGTTTGTTTTTCAACAGTAATTACGCCAGTTACTTTTCGGATGGCTGCAAATGATGGACTATAGCTTTAATAGCAAAAAATCCATGCTTACAGTACTTAGTAAGCATATTTCACGGATTTCAGCTCCTGCGCATCCTTACATTTTGGCAAATCCCGTAACTAAGGATTCTGTGCTTACAGGGTATTAGCACAGAATTGTTCTGCTAGCGCGGTTAGCACAAAATGGTGATCTTAGTGTGTAAGCGTGGAATTCTGTGGTTAGCAGAGCCATGGAATTGGGCCAAGGCACAATGATCTCACAGGATGCGACTATTATTCATTTACAATAAAGTATTTGATAGTTTTGGTTTTTTTGCTGTTTGCAAATGTTGTACTTTAAGCAATTTCAGTTTCTCGCTGAGTAATTCTTCAAAAATGTCTAGCCTGCCAGTCACTCATTGCATGTAGGCCAGCCAATTACATACATTGTGTAGCATGTCTCGTTTTGATTACCTTCAAAGCTTAAAATAGCTCTGACGCCTTTGGCTGGCCTATTTTTGGACAAATCTTGGTTTCCCTTCTTCATGGTTCAAAACACATAGTGACTGTGCTCAGAGCTGATTGTCAAATTGCACACAAAGTACCGTATGATTAAAGGGAAAGTAACATTTGCAAACATCAAAATGATTTGAACGTCATTCGGTTTGAAAGAAATTATGACAGGGCCCACAACATTTAACCGCATTTTCTCCCACCACTTGTAGGGAGTATATGTGACCTGTTCTGTCAAAATCAGACTTTTCTGGGCATAAGGTCAAAAATGCGATTTTTGCATATTGATAAAATATATGTTCTTTTTCCTTTTAAAAGGTAGTTTAATTTTTGAAACAGGTCATTCCTGCGAAACGTTATGCTATTTTGAAGTTCATTGTGTCGAAAAGTAGAAAATGGAGAAAATGGCCACAAACGTCACAAAACAGTAATTTCGTTAACTGATATACCTTAACAAATCATCAAAAATACTATATTTAAGTTCAAATTAAGGTTTCAAACTTTTATTGTATATTTTAGACAAGTTCAGGATTACAAATATCCAAAAATAGGAAAATCAAAAAAAATCACCCCACAACGTTTTTTGGCCCTATCTCAATTTCAACCTCTGCCCAGAAGCGTCTGTTTTTGACAGAACAGGTCACATATTTGTACCCCAAAAATGGCAGTGCATGTACAAACCGGGAAAAGAATTGACCAACTAACATTCATGACTAAAATTAATCTTGAAGCGCTGCATGTACAATGTACATTTTGTAGACTTTAGAACTTAATGGGTATTAAACCCAAATCACATACGGTAGTCTCATGTCTGTGGTCACTGTGTGCCACTGTCACATGTTCACAGTTACCGGCATGACCGGTAACCGGGGTGCAAGTCCAATCCTGACAACCCGGGTCCAGGGTCCACAGCCCATGATGACACACCTACCGGCACTGCAAATATAATGCCGTGCCCTTTTAAAACCAGGAAATAAAGATTGAGATTTCTGGATCCTGAATACACTATAAAGCTGTACATGTACAAACATGGGCTGCTTAGTGCTAGTTGTGGGGACTACATTTGTACACACGAGTTGGTCCCTGGTAGTACTATGGGGACCAAAAATGCTGTGGGAACATGTACATGTATGCCCATGGAGCTGAACATGTTGGTTATTGTTACAGCAGAAGTAAAGCGATTTTCAACTGCTAAAACACTGCAATGCAAAAACAACATTGCGAATCTTTGGTTAAACGTTGAGCTACGGTACGGTACATGTACCGGTACCATACTTTTAGTCATGTACATGTACCAAGCCACAGGTCCCAAACAAATTTTTTTTTTGGTTTTCTGTTCTTTTAAATCTCTTTTCTTTTAAAAGTTTTTAATAAAATCCAACTTCTTATTGACGTCATCTTTTTCTTTTTGTGATCTGTGTCAGACTTTGGAGCAATTTTTTTAAAGGGAGCATTTTTATGTCCGAGAACCATTCGGTTGATAGTCTGGCCTCCAAGAGCCAAAGATCCTGATGTTGAATATTGTCAGGTCAGGGAACCAGATGGTCCGCTACTGTAATGGTAGCCAAGCTGCATTAAATTTAACTCTGTCTACTTGAAACTGATGACTGGCTGAAACTTGAAAGTGAAACCAAACCAAAATGTGAAAACAGGAAGTGGTTTGTGTTTTCTATGTACCGTACTACTTGATTTACAGCACCACATGTACACCAGTAGCAGATCTACATTTGTAATATTCTGATACTGGTAAAATGGGGCCATAAAGTTAAATGGAACTTGGTAAAGTTCCTAAATTTATTCGCAAGTTGCTTTAATGCAGGAGAAAACATTGAAGACCCCCCTACACCTCGGGCCCCTTGAACAAGGCAAGCCTGCACTCAACCCCGCCCCCCCCCCCCCAATTTCCTGAAAGCTTTGTAGCCCATGTCTACTAATTAGAGGGCCTCATGTGTCTTCTAGCACTGTGATTTTTCGGAGGGTCAGTGGTGCGCTATGAGAAATCTATGGAAATTCAGTTTGATCGACGAAATACAATGTGGTCTGTGTCTGGAATTTCACTTTCTGCAACACAAATCCACCCAAACAGTTGCCCTGTTTGATCCATAGGCAAACTCTCGAAAATTCCAGAACCATTGGCATTTGGACCAGTGGACAGATTTTTTTTGGAAAAAATTGGAGCTTTTAACTCACTATCGTCAGTTTTCAGACACAGGAATGTTGACCACACGGTGACTGCTCTATGTTCCGACACCCCTAGGTTCCGACAACCTAGATTGTGTTACTCCCGGTTAGGGTTAGGGTTAGGGTTAGGAACAGGAATATGTGCAGTCGGAACATAGGGGTGTCGGAACATAGAGGTGTAACCGACCACACACATGATACAAACCTAGCTGCACAGAGTAATTTAGTCTGGTCTCCCGACCAAAAATAGAATCCCATTCCTTTCACGTACACACATGGAGGGCACCGCTCCTGTGTTATGGCCGCATCATATGCGGAAAAAAAATTGCGTTCGAAATCTGCCGAAGAGCCAATCAGAGGGCGCCTCGGTTATTTATGCTGAGTAGGACACCCAACAGCCATCGGGTCGGTAGTACATTCAGCATGCACAGTACGGAGTGCGGTCCATTGACCCAACTGCTGTTGGATGTATTAACATTGTACTTAGCATAAATAATCGAGGTGTCCTCTGATCATCCTCTCAACAAACTTTCTCCAATTTTTGTCCTCAAATGTACAAGTTAAATGGAACCTGAGAATCATCACGCTACTTCTTTGGTTGTGTACAAAGAGTCATACTAGAGTATGGAGAGTTCAGTTCATTTTGTAAGTATTTTCTAACAAAATTGGAAACGTTTCTCAATCTCAGTCCCAGATTCGTGTCTTTTCAATTTTTGCAAAGTTAACTGACCTTTATTGAAATAATGAAAAACGTGGCGTCAGGATGCAACATTCTTTCCGCTAAATTTCCTGATGAATAGTGTTACTTTATCCTGTAAGAATTCTGCATACATTCTGGACAAAATTAAGTAAGTAAAGTCTGACCCGAGCCAATATGGCCCATCAGGCCGGCGTTTATCTCCAGTTTCAGTGGCATGAAACGACTGACAATATTTCTAGTCCAGGTACAACTATAGAATGCAGGGCCACTTCACTCTACATCCGCGCCTCCGTACGGCTGCGTGGAGGCGTGGAGCCGCAGTCGACCTACCTCCGAAATCGTGGAGGCGTGGAGCCACAGTCGATATCTCCGAGAATTGCGCCCTCTATCGGTGCGCGTCTCTGCGACTCCATGCCTTCGCGACTCCAGGGCCCCGCGTCTCTGCAACTCCGCGACTCCAGTGCCCCGTCGCCCTCCTCCCTTCCTTTGGGAGCCCATTTAAAATGGATATGGATGCTTCGTTCTCAAAAAAATACCGCCGAGAATTGCGCCCTCTATCAGCGCGCGTCTCTGCGACTCCGCGACTCCGCGCCTCCGCAACTCCAGGGCCCCGTCGCCCTCCTCCCTTCCTTTGCGAGCCCATTTAAAATGGATATGGATGCTTCGTTCTCAAAAAAATACCGCCGAGAATTGCGCCCTCTATCGGTGCGTGTCTCTGCGACTCCGCGCCTCCGTGCCCCGGCCCGACACATCTACAAGCGCGCCCTCCCTTCCGATCCTTCATGAGAAGCTTAGAAGACAAGTGCATTCGCTGTACTTAGCACTTTTTGCAGGTTTGCATATTATTATATTGTAGCCTATTACTCCTATCCTCACATCGCCGACCTCGATCCACCACGCCTCCAAGCAGAATAAAAAACCTTGCTCCGGCATGGCCCTGCATTCTATAGTTGCTCCCTAGTCCATCTCAGGTTACTCCCCAACTAATGCCGGTACCCATTTTTACACATCAAGGACACAACGTATGACCAGCAGCTGGATTCGAACCCCTAACCCTCTGATCATGAGTCACGAACTCGAAGTGGCCGAACCGCTAGGCCACACTTCCCCTTGTCAGTTGCTTGTAATTCTGAACAAACTTTCTCAAAATTTTCCCTCACATTTACAGGTTAAATTAAAAATAATACAGGGAACACGTTTGTAGGAAATTTGGTCCAGATTGCTGTGTGGCTCACAATATTATTATTAATAATACGGAGGAACTTGGGCATGTTGAACTTGAGAAACATTGATGATGTTTAACAATGTAATAATGGGGCTAAAATGTCACCAAATTTACAGCTCAACTTACATCGCTGAAGTTGCCCATAATTTCCCTCACGGTTTCCACCGGAAGCCCCTTCTCAGCTGCCACTTGCTCTGGATCCATGATGATGATGACTTAGTTGTCGGATTTCTGGTTCAGATCAAGTCTCTTCAATTTTGGAAACACAAGTCCGGAGTCCCGGAAGTTTTTGCGAGTGAGTCGGCCCAAGCACCGTGTACGCCGCAGAAAGAACCGCACACTCCCGGCGAAGCGAGCTGCTCAAGTTTCGGTCAACTTCAAACTGCGGGTTCGTGCGGTCAGGACGATATAGTTGGCAGATGTGATCGAGTGCTAGCCAACTCTATATGGCGAGGGGATTAAGATAAGATAAAATGTAGACTTGACAAACTAAAAATTGTAAACTTTGTCGGTGCAAAGGGCGTGCACACCTCGCAAAATGATAGCGGAAGTGACCAAAAAGTGCACAGGTGGTTAGTATAACTACGCATGCGCGAATAAAGTGCCTCTCATTTAGACTGGTATCATGTCTCATAGTGTTTACAAGGCCAAACGAAATTTGCAATTTTCAGAGTAAAATTGCCATTTCCGAACATAATAATGAATACTTCATCTTTTTTTATTGAAATTTATCCTTCACATTGTCAGTTTGTGAACGAGGGGCATCAATGTTACGCGGGCTTGCCTAGTGTACATCGTTACTAAATTGCCGCGCAGTCGGTGGTGAAAATAGCGCCCTCTGTTGACTAGAAAGAGAAACTCCGCTTTACTGTGTATCCCGCATTATTTTAAACTCTTTTGACAAGTCAATCTGTTTCTGTTTATTATGTAGCATTTTTTTCTTTTTGCAATGTGAGCAATTTATGAAATATTTCACAGCAGAATTGTTTCAAAATTGTTTCAAGGGGTGTCAGCAAATTTAATCATTCTGAGAGTAATTTTTAATTTAATACATTTTAGTGGCAATTGAATGTTTTAAATACAAATGCTAGTGTACAGGGTGAGTCAAAAAAGCAAAATCCAATTTATACCTTGTACATATAATGCAATATGCAACCCAATCGAATAATTATTCAAAGCAACCGGCCCTTACCAAAAAAAAAGGCCAGCCGTGGCAACTTCCCATGGGGTATTGCCATATGGGGATTTTCCCCATGGGTTCCCAAGGAGATATTGGATACCATGCACATCATGGTGTACATTCCCATGGATTTTCGCTATGGGTATTATCCTATACTTTCCCGTGGTTTATCCCATGCATCCCTGTGATTCGTCCCCAAAGGATTCCAAATTTACCCAAGGTACTTTTCTAAAGCAACTTTCCTATAATTATAAGATATTTACGCTTACCTTTTCAGGTCACGTGATTTCTACTGAGCATCCCATGGGCCTTATGGGCATTGTCCCATTGTCCCATAGATCCCATGTATGAAGATCGAGTGTCTTAAGCACTCTATGATGGCCAATACCTACAATGTACATCAATAATTGCTCCTATACGCGGTGTACACCATTTTTCAAGTTGTACCATATATTATCACCACGTTCCCAATTTATTTTCTCATAAATGTTTCCTGAATGTTTCCTGAATGTTTCCTAATGTTTCATGTGTCATCTCCCGATCCCAAGTTCTATATCTTTCTGGAGCAAGTAGATGATAGAAATCGACCATACAAGGAACTCATATAAACAACCTAATATTCGCAGACGACATCGTCTTAATAGCAGAAACCCCAGAGGAACTCCAATCACTGGTACATGGGCGTCGCCAGGATTTTTTCCGGGGGGGGGAGGCAAAGCAAATTGTTACCCAAAATTCCTTAACTTTTTCATTGTATTCTCAATTTATCATTTTTTTCGAGCGTGAGCAGGGGAGCATTTGCCCTAACCCACCCATCAATTTAACAGCAATACGGCTTCGTACCTCTTTTTCCTCCCGGCCCCGGCCCCACCTCTTTTTTTTTCGTTTTGCGCCCCCCCCCCCCCCCTCGCGACGCCCTTGCACTGGTAGACAGAGTTTACAAATTCAGCAGTGAATATGGCCTCAAGATAAACAACAGCAAAACAGAAGTAAGTCATGAGCAAAAGAAATTGCGACATCAACACCGAAATCAACAACAAAAATAGAGCAGGGGACTTGTGTAAAACTTGTTTGAAACCGACCAAGCACACATTAATCCCTCATTTTTATTCATAAATAGGCCTACCTAAGACAGTTTACCCATTCCTATTGGACGAGAGCCCGTCGCGTGGCCGGTCTTCCGGATGATAACGACATGGCTGGCTGGTCACTTTAACACTTTTCCAGTGTCACATGAAATTTGGAATCCTATATGAAATCCCGGAGCCTTTTACCGTTTTATTGCATGGTTAAACGTTCCGCAATATACTACCACTGACCCAGTATTTCATCTTCCTAAATTCACACTACCACCGGCACAGCTGCGTTCTGCGCTACATCGCGCAGCACGCGCGACAAGCCCGCCAACTCTGCCTATTTTGAGTTGTTCACCACTTTTTGTAACAGGGAAATTTCATAAAATATAGCTAGAGGGGTGTTTCGAAAAACATGAAGTAAAATTGTTGGACAAAATCGTTGGAAATTTATAATTTTTTGCTTGTTTTGACCGAACAGTTTTGATTTTTATGGCCGAATAGGTATTTACATGTATGAATGGGAATAAACATGTTCTTGGCCGGTATTAAACACTATGTTTAAGACCGGCTGGAGTCTGGATGCTGACAATTACCCATCCAGCTAGACTCCAACCGGTCTTGAACATTATGTTTAAAACCGGATAAGCACACATTTATTCCCTTATGGGCTCCGTGCGCCAACAAAAAAGACGGGGCGCGCTTTTACCACTTCTAAGAGCCACTTGGGCTGGACACCGCGTGTGCGCACTGTAATTCGCGCGCGACTACGCACGATTTTTTTTATCCTGAATGTGCAAAAAGCAATGGCAAAAAGCCAAGCCACAGTGTCTTCGCGCGTGAGCGTCAGGCGTCGTCGGCGCGCGAATACGTTCGAATTTAACTTGCGATGGTCTCGCAGACTAATCCCCGACCCCAATAACTTTGGATGATTCGAAATACACAGTGGATGGATCGGAAACCAGTCTGGGTTTCCCCAACTCTCCTTTTCTGGCCGATGATGGCCGGGGTACTTAATTGTGCACGGAGCCCATTATAGACCGCTTGCAGACGCGATCGATACTTGACGCGCGAAGGTGCACGACGCCATGTTATGGGACAAAATGTGCATGGATAGATATACGCCTGTCCCAAAACATGGCGTCGCGCGCCTTCGCGCGTCGATTATCGAACGCATCTGCAAGCGGTTTATTGAACGATGTAGCCACGCTATCTAGCTGTCAATGTACAAATAGACCGCTTGCAGATGCGTTCGATAATCGACGCGCGACACCATGTTGTGGGACAAGCGTATATCTATCCATGCACATTTTGTCCCACAACATGGCGTCGCGCACCTTCGCGCGTCAATTATCGATCGCGTCTGCAAGCGGTCTATTGCCCCAAATAACTCACACGATACCCGATTCGAAAATTCGAGACATTGGCAAGTTATGGCGCGGGCCAGAAATTTCTTGTTGCGTACATGTACATGTACATGCATGTCAAATTTTCTCCTCGAATTGGTTTACGGACTTGTTGGACGATGTAGCCACACTATCCAGCTCTCTATTCGTGTACACTTGAATCTAGTCACGAGATACCTAACATATTTGGCGTGAAGTTTTTGGGATTCCAAGATGGCGGATAAGTTGCTTCATAAGCCAATCAGTGTGCGGCGGCAGCCAGACCAGATAGTATAATTATTAAACGTCAGTGGTTTCACAGAATTTGATGAAGAAGTATGATCACGGTCTGTTAATTTAAGTCCTTTTTATTTCATATAATTCAATACACGCAACCAATGGATAAAAATGTCTCAGTCTGATGTTAAGACTTTTTTTCTAAAAGCAATTATGTAAGCTACATAATTATTTAAATATATCTTGCAAAACAAATAATTCCAATATATTCCAAATTATTGCATTATTTAAATTATACATATTAAATGTTTTTCTTTTTTTCTTAATAAATTGTCCACTTACAACGGGACCCCTTAAATACAGGCACGGAGCCCCTAAACGAAAATTCAAAAAACTTATCTTGTGCGCATGAGATAAATCAATTATCTCGTGCGCAATAAGATAATTGGCTGAGAATAGCACCAAGAATACGTTGAATTTTAGTAACTCAGGAATCGTTCAATTCCGTCACGTCACACCAAAACTCATGTCATGATCAGGTTCTCCACTGTGCATTTCTTTTGGGGAAAATCTTACCAATTATCTCGTGCGCATGAGATTAAATTGATCCATCTCGTACGCATGAGATAGTATGACCCACAAAATATTTTTTTAATCTTTGAATGTCCCTTACGGGCTCCGTATAAGGGGCTCTGTAAAATACCTTCTCCTTTATAAATAATTCCGCAAATCTTTACCAAAAATCTAAGCTAAAGTAGCAGCTTCAAAAAAATTTAAACCTCAAAAGTATGGTAAAAGTTAAAATGTTCCAAGTTGACATGCTTACAACTGGTTAGTAGACAGTCTGACATCTGGTTAGTTGACAGTATATGACATCTGGTTAGTTGACAATATGACACCTGATGGAGTCTGACACCTGATAGACTCTGACTAGTTAGTCGTCAGTCTAACAACTGAGAAGTTGAAAGTGCTAGTCTCACTGGTCATGCAATCAACAGTGACAACTGGACAGCCGACAGTCTGACAACTGGTCTTAAACTGGTTAGTTGAAGGTCGTAAAACTGGACAGTCTAACTGGTCAGTCGAGAGTCTGACAATTTACCTTTTAGTTCACAGTCTGACAACTGGCTAGTTCGCAGTCTGAAAACAGTCCACAAATGGTCAGTTGACAGTCTGACAACTGGTCAGTTGACAGCCTGACAACTAGTATGTTAACAGACTGATGACAACTGGTTAGTTGATAGTCTGACAATTGATCCATTGGCCGTCTTACAACTGTTTAGTTGACAGTCTAACAACTTGTTAGTTAACAGACCGACACTTGGTGGATAATCTGACAACTGGTTAGTTGACAGTCTCACATCCAGTTAGTTGACATACTGATCACTTGACAGTCAGACAACAACTGTTTAATTGACAGACTGACAAATGATCAGTTGTGATCAGACGATCGGACAAATGGATAAAAATCTAATTACAAAACCATGGCTCATAATACAGTTTACTTAATTATTTACATATCATGATGGTTGATAATTTAACCAAAACTCCTGAATACGTTTCTGATTAAACTCTTCTAGTTTATCCGCAAAAAGTACTGTCTTGGAATTATGAACAAATTCTGATATCTCTTGCTTTCCTTTTTTTTTACTCATCATATGGAAATATTGTCATAAATGGGCAGTTCCACAGTGTCGAATGTACATTCTCGACAATTCAAGTCTTTATAATAAAACTTATAATTCGTAAAGTGGATTTTAATTATGATAAAACGTATAAGTTACTACAATAATTTAAAAAAGAAGTTATTAATCCAACTTGCTTGCTGTTGTAGGAATCGGCTCGAAACACCATATGGTGCCAGACGTACTCAGACACATTGATTTTTTTTTTGTACTTACTAATTATTTTTTTCTGTTAAAAATAACAGCTCAAGTGTTGAGCATTGTTAGAAATATATCAATAGAATACAGCTGATAATAAGCTTCAAAATGATATACGTTTTATTTGTGGCATTTGGATTGGTTGACGTTATGGCATTGAGTTTTATAGTTCCATGAAATTCACCAAAATTTCAAACTACGAGTTGATAATGATTCTTAACTGAATAGAATACTGAGGTTACTGTGATAACTACATGAATAGTAACATTTATCAATTACTTATAGAGCACATGTAAATTCTACTTAACCCTACTTGCCACACAGTGCTTATCATCAAGGCACATTATTTTACCGAGGATTACCCTCTCTTTGGCATGGACCGCAGAGGGCGCTATTTGAATAATCAATGAGAATGACAGATATGGCACTTCCATAAACTTTATAGATTTTGTCCCTCATGAATCCAAAAGAACTAAAAAGCAAAGTGCGTACTCTTCATCCAAGACGTGATTTGGAGTTTATTTCCCTTATACAGCCGGTCCGTGACAAGCGAGTTCGCTACCAACAAGATGAATCAAATCCAGTCTTAGCAATATTGGCAGCGCTACCCAGGAAATTCCGAGCATACCTCACGCACCCTGTATTCAAGCCTATGCATGTGCGTGAGGTATGCTCGGAATTTCCTGGGAAGCACTGCCAATATTGCCAAGACCGGATTTGATTCATCTTGTTGATAGAGATCTCCGTCGCCGTGGCAGCGTAACTGCGTTTGTCACGGGACTGGCTGCAAAATTGGGAAATAAAATTCCAGTCTTGGACCAATTAGTGCAAAGTCTTGATTCAAGACTAAAGGTTTGGATTTTATTCCCTAATGCTGCTGGTCTCTAACAAGCATGGTCATCAGGTTGCGGCAGAAGAGGGCGCTATCAACAACATGAATCAAATCCAGTCTTGGAAACTTTGGCACTGGGACCCAAGATCATCTGCAGATACCTCACGCACGTGCATCGGTTTGAATACAGCGCGCGTGAGGTATGCGTGGAGCGCTATGGTCCAATGGTTACAGTGTTTGACTCACGTGCCATCAGCCGTGGTACGTGGGTTTCCTTGATGGTGAACATGGTGTTTGTGTTCTTGGGCAAGACACTTTACTACAATTGCCTCTCTCCACCCAGGAGTATAAATGGGTACCTGTGAAGGTAGAGACTAGAATGTGCTGATCTCGAGCTGCTGCAAACATTGGTCTCAAGGCCTGATGAACAGGGGTAATAATTGTGAAGCGCCACCTTTGGTATAAAGCGCTCTATGAGCATCACATTATTATCATTATTATTATTATTATGCTTGAGTTTTCTTGTGTCAGAGTGCCAAAGTTCCCAAGACTATAGCGCCCTCTCCCACAGCAGTAACTTGACCACATTTGCCAGGGATCATGCAGGACAGGCTGCATTAGCACAACACAATCCAAATCCAGTCTGGAACCTTCAAGCTTGACAACTCGGAGCCTTGGTCCCACAAAATCCCAGAGCAACACCAAAGATGCTTTGTTTAGTTCTGGATCCATCAAATTCCTACCATTCGCCATCTCTTAGTACTTGTATTTTTTATCCTTCTTATGCTTGTGCTTCTTGACTTTTACCTTATAGCCACCGTAGTGGCCTCCTTTGTGATCAGAGTCACTTGAGCTGCTTGAGCTCGACGAGGAGGAACTGGACTTGCCGCCGTGCTTGTACTTCTTCTTCTTCTCTTTCTTGTGCTGAGAGAAGTAGATAATACACAAATATTGACTGGCAATGAGGTCACTGGTTAACCACTATGCACCCCAGAGGACTGTGACTATACATTTATTGACTGGCAATGAGGTCACTAACTATCAACTATGCACCCAAGAGGACTGTGACTACATATATTGACTGGCAATGAGGTCATTAATTCACAACTATGGTCCCCAGATGACTGTGACTTTACATAATATTGACTGGCAATGAGGTCACTAATTAACGACTATGCACATGCACCCAAGAGGACTGCGACTATACAAATATTGACTGGCAATGAAGTCACTAATTAACAACTATGCACCCCAGAGGACTGTGACTATACAAATATTGACTGGCAATGAGGTCACTAATTAACGACTATGCACTCCAGAGGAGTGTGACTATACATATATTGACTGGCATAAGGTCACTAACTAACGACTATGCACTCCAAAGGAGTGTGACTATACAGATATTGACTGGCAATGAGGTCACTAATTAATGACTATGCACCCCAGAGGACTTTCAATGAGGTCACTAATTAAAGACTATGCACTCCGGAGGACTGGGACTTTACAGATATTGACTGGCAATGAGGTCACTAATTAACGACTATGGACTCCAGAGGATGTGACTATACATATATTGACAGGCAATGAGGTCACGTACTGGTTTATGCACTTGGGACTGCATGCATGTAAGTGCCCACAAAATATAGTCCTATTTCCTAAGGTCAAAGAGTACCGAGAGAGATTGGGCTGTCTTGTGGTCTCTCATAGGCCCAATGGGCATTGGGGGGGGGGGTTGAGGGAGGTGGCCTGGAGATCTGACCAATTGGGATGCTGAACAAAGCAAACTGGAAGCGACAATAGTGGACAACAGCTGGCGCTATTCTGCATGGCATATATGGGGCAAGTTCGCGCAACAACTACATGTATTGTTGACCATTGGTTAACCATAGTTTGACTACAGTTAGTCCAAACTCTGTCTAGTCGACGGTGGTTGACTACGCTAGTGGACTATTGGGAACCAACCTACTGGGGCTGGTTGTATCACTGGTAACCAATAGCTGTGCGCATTCATAACGTACAGCAGGGAGCCAGGATCCAGAAGTTTTGCGATGACATTTTGACCAGCGTTTGACTAGAGACGATTGCACGTTGCTATTAGTGCGCAGACGTACGGTACGTCACAAATCAACCACTAGTCGACTAATTGGTCCTTGCCCGAACTTGGCCTATGCTGATGCATGGAAACACATAGGTATCTGCAGACAGGTAAAACGATTTTGTCATCAGAAAAAAAAAGGTTGTGAACTTGTGACCTGCCACTTTATACCCGCTTCCCTCTGCAGTCACTTTATACCCGCTTCCCTCTGCAGTGCCCCTGATTTTCACCAACTTACCTTCTTATGTCCATGTCCATATGCTCCGACTGCAACACCAACATGCCCAGCTGGTGCATGGTACTGTGATAATTACCACACAAAAATATGAATACATGTTGGGCTATTCTTTATACTCATTTAATCAGGTCAAGTAAAAAATACAGTTTCTTGCTCAAGCTTTTGGAACAAAAGGTGGCGGCCCCTTTTTTTCTCCGAAATGGCGGATTTTCTAAGAAGGCTATGGATTCTTCCATTTTCTCGACTCTATTGCTTACACAGAACTGTGTCCACATGAGCCGTCACCCTTTTTACATATATAGCTACAATTTTGTTGGGAAAGAAAAATTCATTGACAAATTTGCAAAACATATTGAAAATGTATGAATTAAAAAAAAAAAAGGAAGGAAAAAAAAAGGGGTTGGGCGAGAAAAAGGAAGTGGACGAGTTTATTTTTTTACTTGGCCTAATGGGTTAATGATGGGTTTTTGTAAAAACCAGATAGACTCTGAAAGGGCTTAACATCTGTTATTACCCCTGCTCACTGTGCCCATAGAACATTCCACAGACCATGTCCATTATTCTACCAGCATATAAAAGCGGCTAAAATATATTTTTACGTTGCAAAGTACACATGGTCATGTGCGCAAAATCTTTCTGTCATATCTCAGATTTTTGTTTTTACCATTGATGCGGGGAAATAGTATTTGCTCAAGACTGGAAAATTAGATTTTGATCCCCAAATGCAGCGATCGCAACCCCTTGCAAATGTGCTGAAGTCGCCGCTGCACTATGAGGGACTGATATCAACAAGATGAATCCAAAGCTGTCTTGGGAACTTTGGCGCTTGGACCAAGGAAACATGGAGCATACTCCAAGCGCACCATATTCAAGCTAATGCATGTGCATGAGGTATGCTTAGAGTTTCTTGGGTTCCCAGTGCCAACATTCCCAAGACTGGATTTGATGCATCTTGTTGATGGCACGCTCCACCGCCACCGCGACTTGACCACAAATCCAGTGGACCAAAACCTGCATACACAATGCACAAGGAGTAGTGTAGATGGCACTTACCATTGGTGCACCGGGCGTGCCATGCATAGCCCCGGGTGCGCCATGCATAGCCCCTGGTGCGCCATGCATAGCCCCTGGTGCGCCATGCATAGCCGCGGGTGCGCCATGCATAGCCCCGGGTGCTGGATAGCTTGGGGCAGCCATGCCATAGCCAGGGGGTGCACCACCATAAGGTGGAGCTGCAGGTCCTCCCTGTGGAATTAGAAGGGCGAAGGTATAATATCCAGCATTTGTGTGTGTATCGCCCATTTTGTACTGAAGTACAAGAGTCCCGCCAAACTAAATGTATTAGGAATGATGAAGTGTGATTAGATGTTCCACACAGAGAGTCACTAAAGCGTGACCGAATCTGCCTGCTTGCCCTGAGCTTATATAACCACAAAAGAAAAATTGTGCAGGGATTTGAAGTGTTATCCATACACGCCATAGAACAAATCTCAAAGGAATTTGAAGTGTGGATGCTAACTCTATGGACAAAGTCCCAACTTTAGTTGGGGCCTTTGCTAGAGTTGGGGCCAACTGTCCCCATTATAGTTGGGACTGCTACAGTTGGGACTATCCCAACCATAGTTGGGACTAGTCCCAGAGTTGGGGCATAACAGGGGATTAAATTCTGACTTCAAACTAAGTTCCTGAGGCTTTTTGTCCCCAAACAAGCTCGAAATGATCTCCGAAGCTACAGCCCAACTGTAGACCAACTGTACATGTAGACCTGCTGATGGATATAAGTCATGCACATGATGTAAAAGTCTGTTCTTATAATGCCAACCACTCACACGGTCGTGACTGTCAATTGAAAAGGATTCCCATTATTTTGTTCTGGATCTGGATCTAGATAGTTAATTGGCAATGCCTCCTCTGGAGTATCACGCCAATGGGGGCTTAGGGTCAGATCTTAGACGTGCTGGCTCATGTGCTTTTTAAGTCTTTCTCTGAAGGTTGGTGTAGAAGGTGCTTCGATGACAGCGGGGGGCAGGGCATTCCAGTTGACGATTGTTTTTGGGAAAAACGAGTTCTTGTAAATCTTGTTCTTGTTGAACGTCATGAGTTGGTGCATGGAGCATTTTATAGCATGTGGAACACCCAATGTGTGTGCAGCTAGTAGGCTACTGCTAGCCCCAATGCAAAGTGAGTGATCTCGTGACCCAATTGTCCACAACTGCAATAAATTGATAGTTGGTCAGTGGAGACATGAAGCACGTGTTGTTGCGAGGGCCTAAGACAGAAGGTGATCGATTGCCAAAAAAGGCATGTGCTGAAGTTTGTTACTTACCAACTGCTTGCTGCAGCTAAAAATACAAATTTAAGAAGAACTCACCCCGGGGTAGCCCTGGGCTGGAGGGGGGTACGTCTGACCCCCAGGAGGGTAAGCTGGGTTAGGCTGGGCACCTGGGTATGCTGGCTGTTGTTGTGGATATCCTCCCCCTGGACCAGGGGGAGGGTAGTGTCCACCCGGGGGTGGTGGAGGATAGCTCATTCTTGCAGACTATCGTGTGCTTCTAATATTTCAGCAATTTAGAAGGTTAAGACCCCGTTCCTATGAGAGAATAAAAAATCAACTTTCCATTTAATTTGGACTCACCTTACATTTCTTACAAGCTAACCATGGTGAAAACTAAAGGCCAAGTTAAAAAATAAAATAGTGTCTTGTCCCTGCCCAGTTCGGTGAAAGGGTAATCCTTACTTTTAGGACACCTCTATTTTGTACGAGTTCTGTTCAAAACTGACTTTTGCAGATGACTGTCCAGTACCAAAGTGACTTTTGCAGGCTAGAGAAGTCTTTTTTCTTCAGACAAACTCATGTTAGTTATAATTGAAAGCACTTTCAAAGAAAATGTGACTTTCCTACCTTTTTTTGCAGTTCGCCATCTTGCTTTTTAAATTTATTTTCTGTTTGTCATCGTCCTCTTTAACCCCTCATAAATCAAAACCCTGCCCTCTTTCTACAAAATCAAACCTGCTGATATTCAAGAGATGTCATTGCCAAATGTTCAAATGTGTCAAGAAATATCAGAATGTCACTTTTGAGTGTCATTTAGTCAGCTGTTTTGGTGAGTCTTTTAACCTTAGGAAAGGGGTCCTAAAAGTAAGGATTACCGGTGAAAGATTGAAAAATCATTGAATGTTTCATTCGAATGGAACAGTCTATCTTTCACCTCATGAAAACATTCCATCCATTGCACTCAAATTAAACATTCATTATTTGTCTACCAATCATTCAGCACTCCAGACTCAAGAACCATTAAAGGAAAAAATTAAGGAAAAAATGTTGCAACCTTGCCACTTCGTTCTTCTTATTTATCATCTCAATAAAGGTCAGTCATTGCAAAAATGGTAATCCTTACTTTTATAGTTGTAGTTTTGAAAGCACTTTCGAAGAAAATGTGACTTTCCTACCTTTTTTCGAAGTCAGACGTGCATGTTGTAGTTCTCACACGCGTGAAAGCCCTACATAATTAAAGCCCGATGCTTATTGGCTGCTAAAATAATATATAAGTCTGGTTCCCAGACCAAAAGATTCTGACTACTCCTGCATCTTTTGGTCTGGGAACCAGACTAAAAATAAATAAGTTAGTCTGGTTCTCAGACCAAAAGATTATGACTATTTCTGAATCTTTTGGTCTGGGAACCAGATTAAAATAAATAAGATTTTTTTTTTTATCAGCCAATCAGCATCGAGCTTTCATCGCATCGAGCTTTCATGTTTGCCATCTTGGTTTTTGAGTCTGTTTTCTGGTTGTCATCGTCGTCTTTTACCCCTGAATTTCCCTCATAAATCAAAGCCCTGCCCTCTTTCCACAAAATTAAACCTGCTGATATTCAAGAAGGTGTCATTGCCAATTGTTCAGATGTGCCAAGAAGTATCACTATCAGAATGTCAATTTTGAGTGTCATTTAGTCAGCTGTTTTGGTGAGTCTTTCCCTTCCTATATAGGAACGGGGTCCTAAAAGTAAGGATTACCGCAAAAATGGTGAAGACATGAATCTGGGACTGATAAACATTTCCAATTTTGTTAGGAAATGCTTAGAAAATTTTCTTGACTCTCCATAGACTTTGTACACAACCGCTGAAGCCGCGTCGTGTCATGGTTGCAACTTTTTTTCCAAAATTAAAATTGCAGTTTCTACCCCTAACAAAATACCAAAAAAATATCCTCGATGCTTTTTCGATGGTGAAAGGATTTATTTCAAGTAAGAGAAAAACACCGAAATAGCTTTCGGTCATTGTCGGTTTTTCAATTTTTTGGGGGCTGGCGGTGGAACGCGTACCACACACACAACAAATCAACTGGTTGTGTGGTACGAATCTGTGCTTACAAGGTCAAACCTCGAGAACTTGTTGCCTCGAAAACAGGTACACGGACGATACTGTGACTGAGTGTGATATGGCATTAACAAAGACCTTTCTCCACTATGTTGGAAAATGTAGAAAACTAGAGAAACCTTAGAGTCTATAAAATGTTTGCTTGTTGTTTTAAAAACATTTTCGAATGATACAAAATATTTTAGTACTAGGCTACAAAGCAGAAGAGTTAGTTTAAATTTTGGGTCGCACTAAAAAGCGTCAACACAGCGTCAACACATGACAGAAGCGTCAACACACCGTCAACACATCCAAAACATATCCAAAACACATTCTGAATTGACAAAAAAGGTATATAATTGTAAAGCATAGAATAAAAGAGAATTTCCATTGGATTGAGTTTCCATTTTGTTGTTAAAAATATAGTATTTTCACGCGAAAAAATGACCTTTAACTTGCTCGGCCGTTGTCCACCATCTTGACTTCGCACAAAGCTTGGACTACACCATTTTAAGTAGGGGTGTGTAGGTAATGACATTATCTTATCATAAACAACAGTGCATTCTGATCTGTGAGAGACTGAGGGACTGCGGTTTATTGTACAACGCTATCATCCTTTAGCATAATGGAATGGTCTGCACTGCCACTGAGGCAGCCGATCTCAGAGCGGCACGGAGAGCCAATTTTCTTGAACTGAAAATCGCAATTTTCAGACGTTTAACCTATTGATTTTAAGCCAAAATCTTGTTTCTGTCCACACTCTATGGGTTACATACTGCTTGTGTCAATTTTAATGCATTTTGGATGTGTTGACGCTGTGTTGACGCTGTGTTGACGCTGTGTTGACGCTGTGTTGACGCTGTGTTGACGCTTTGGAGTGTGTTGACGCTGTGTTGACGCTTTTTAGTATGACCGTAAATTTTTACACACAATTCAAATTCAACATGTTCAATTTGCCGACACTTGAACATGTTGAATTTGAAAAACGTCAACATGGTCAGTGAACTGGGGGTCAGATTACAAACCGTACAATCCAACAGTCAACCGCAGCTATAATGACCGTCTTCCAGTTAATAACATTCGTTAATATTGCATTTTAATCAATTTATTTTACTCACTAACTTCACCGTCACTCACTCACGTACACGTGACGAACAGTTCACGTACACGAACAAGTGCAATGGGCGCGTCATGTTTGCACTGCTGTTTACATTCCCAGTATATTAATTATTACTGGCTACGGCTAGGCTACGCACTTTCACAATAGTCTTCAAAGGGCAAAAATTGAAGTCGTAGCCGCAAAATACATACATTTCAGTGATTGGCTTTTGGTATCACAAAACTCTTGAGGGCGCTGTACGTCAAAAACATCCAACTGAAAGTTGACGGTGGTGGATGGTGAGTGGTGGTAGTTGTGACTGAAATTTAAAGAAGATTTTTCTCATAACTTTCAAACTATGTCCGGATACCACCAAGGGAAGCATGGAGACGGAGAAAGGAGTCGACAGAGGGTTGGACAGGACGATGAGACACCGGCTCTGTACAACATTTTTCGTGGAGAGGTAGCCTAATTTAGTAATTACTAAAAAAAATAAGGCCACGCGGGCTAGCCTAGTCCAAATTTTCTCAAAAACTTACGAGCCAAAATTACAAAAAAAAAACAGTCCTGGGGGTTTCTCATATACATGATGTAGGCCAATCATCACACCAAGTGTCGTTTCAATCTGTGAGGGTCGGGTCCAAAATCGTGTTGAATTGACACGGAATGATGAGTTCCTATTAATTTTATCCATCATTGTCCATAAACTTTAGGCAGTGTTTATTTTGCCGGAGACGGCAAACCTTTAGTAAACGTTAGTTTGCCGGATATGCACTGAACATGCGCAGTTACTGTTTTTGTTTTACTTAAACATTTTCCGGTGACAAGTTTTAGTCTGGCTTCATGCCAAAATTATCGTTGTTACCTCGTATTCACAAGATGGGATTCAGACCATTTTATAATTTCGGACTTTATTTCCCGTTTAAAAAAAATCCTCCAGAGCCACAAATCTGAAAAAGAAAATGTAATACTCTGCAAAAAATGTTTGAGATGTATGTTAAAATAATAACAGAAGAATATTCTTATTTATTTGGGGATGAGAAAAAAAACCTTAAAAATGTGGTGCGGTCGGAATCGGACGCGAGTCATCCCGTTTACTAGAGCCTTTGCTTAACCATTACACCAAACGTGCTACACAACTTTTGGTGGGAATTTAATACATCTTTAATATAATTCAGCCCTATTTTAAAGAGTACAGCACCCTCTGTTGATATGGATTGCCGCCGGCAAACCTTTAGTAATCGTTAGTTTGCCGTCATTACCTCCGGCAAAATATCCACTATCTGTTCAAAATTGCATTCATTCCCAGCCTGGTGCAGTTTATAAATGGTTTAATAAGGCAAAAAAAAAGGAAAAAAAGTAGTTCTGCTTCCGATTACATGGCATTTGAAAATAGGGTAGGTATATAGGGAATTTTTTTTTGGGGGGGCCATTTTTTTGTGTACGATCATATGGAGGCGTCCGTGTATAGTCAAGGGTAAAAGGTAGAAATTGATGGTTTTGGGTGTTTTTTCCCATTTTCCAATACAAAACTTAGGGTAGGGGCTGTTGGAATAGGGTAGGTAGGGAAACCGGAAGCAGAATATTTTTTTTTTGCCTAAGGGTTTAACATATATTAAAAACATATCATTTGTTTTATTTTTCCCTTGTTCAGGTTGCCTCCATACAGCCATACGGAGCTTTTGTGAAGATCCCAGGTTTTCGCAAAAATGGTAAAACGCAGAGCTGTGCAGTGGAACAAAACACCCTGTGATTTGTAGCTTGGCAGTCCCAGATGGTCCTATTGGGGCACAGAAGTAAAAGTAAAGTCTGTCACAAGCCGATATGGCCCATCAGGCTGGCTTTCATCACGTTTATCTCCAGTTGCAGTGGCCTGAAACGACTGAGAACATTTCTATTCCCCCTGGATGGGATGCTAGTCCATCGCAGGTTACTCCCCAGCTAATGCCGGTACCCATTTATACTCCTTGGTGGAGAGAGGCGTGTTAGAGTGAAGTGGCTTGCCCAAGGATACAACATATGAACAGCAGCTGGATTCAAACCCCGACCCTCTAATCATGAGTCAAGAACCCTAACCACTAGCCCCCCCCCCCCCCCTCCGCCCCCTCTACGCTCCCTAACTAGTGTTTTATTTAACAAAATAAAATATTTTTTTCCCAACATTTGGGCATCCGCAGCCCTTTGAAACAGATGGCCCTGTGAGTAGACTGGTTTCCAGTCCACACTTTACCAATTCTATTAGGGACAGTAACCAGTCTACCCTGACCATATTTTCAATGCAATAATTTAACAACAAGAAATTAATTTTATTGTACATTTCACATATTTCCCGAAACTAGGTCTGGTCCACAAGACGCAGATTTCCTCGACCAGAGTAGAAGATGTTTCTGAAGTGTTGGCGGTTGGGGATCGTGTCTTCTGCAAAGTCATCTCTCTTGGGGTAGGCTAATTATTTTGTGATCTTCGAGAACCTTTTAAGTTGCTTAATTTTTATTCTTAACCCTAAAAATGGTAGATCAATCAAAATCCGTGTTCATATGATGTACACATGTACGTACGTGTACTCAGTGGACATTACTTATTATCTTCAAGCAAAGTTGTAGCCTCGATCCTGATTGGTCAATCCATGGCAACAACCGTGTGACATTATACTGTATCGCACGGTCCTTATCGCACCCTGCGTATTGTGCTATTGCAAGATGCGAGCGACATTCCAGCTGCATGCGCTAAACTGATAAAAGGTTCGCATAAAGTGTGCTAGTTCCAACTTGCTTGAAGATAAACTCGTTATTGCGCTCGCTGAACACGGAAAATGTAGTGCGTCTGTGTTCCACATACCACTCGGCTTTTTGCCTCGTGGTATGTGGGACACAGACGCACTACATTATTCCGTGTTCCACTCGCGCTCAAGGGATAACTTATAAAGTTAGTGAGTGACCGAAACAGTCAGGAAAAAGTAATGCTAACCCTCACGCTAACGCTAATCCTAACCCTGCCCGTTACCTTCTTCCCTCAAGTTGGCCGTTCAACCCTCCTTTTGTTTGATCAGTCACATACAGTCAATTTTTTTCTGTTCCCTGTCATGCCTTTTGTACAGTCAGATCATATTTCATGTAGGCACTGTGACAGTCAAATTCCATCAACAGACAAAAGCAGGTGACTGGTAGGCACAGCTGGCTTATCAATCTCCTACAGTCAAAGCATAGCTGTATCAGGTTTCATAACAATCACAGCCAGTCAATCCTGCTTTATGACGGCAGGGAGCACTCAACTGTTAAAAACAGTCACTTGATGTATTTTGGCTGCTGGGCTGGCCTTGTTGAAATAGCCAGCCATTTTTGCACGAGAATTTAATTCAAAACTCTGGGGTTTTTTTTCCTACAGGATGAGGATAATCCAAAGATTTCATTGTCCATGAAAGTAGTGGACCAAGGCCAGGGCAAGGATTTGGACTCAAATCTCGTCCAGACGAAGTGAGTTTCTTCAAAAACTCTTTTATTTGTTAAAAGTGTATTGTCAGTGCTCTTCAAGAAATGTGATTTTCATCTCACAAATTTGGATGGTTGAGAGTGTTAGTTTTACATAAAAACTGCAATTTTAACGCCTGTAACTATCTGAAAAGAGGTTCTTTTATTTTTTTATTTTTTTTGGGGGGGGGGGGGTGTCTGTGCACAAGCATATTTGCCCTGCTAGTAGACTGGTTCCCAGTGCCCAAATGATCGATTCTGAAAGCTCGCGCCTTCTTTGCTCGTCACGTACGAACATTTTTGTTTTTCAAAACCTTTTGTGTGACCTGTTCTGTCAAAAGCAGACGCTTCTGGGCAGAGGTTGAAATTGAGATAGGGCCAAAAAATGCTGTGGGGGTGATTTTTTTCCATTTTCTAATTTTTGCATATTTGTAATCCTGAGCATGTCTAAAATATACTATAAAAGTTTGAAACCCTAATTTGATCTCTAATTATAGTGTTTTTGATGATTTATTAAGGTATATCAGTTAAAGAAATGTCTGTTTTGTGACGTTCGTGTCCATTTTCTCTGTTTTCTACTTATCGACACAATGAAATTCAAAATAGCATAACTTTGCGCAAGAATGACCGGTTTCAAAAATTTAACCATCTATTAAAAGGAAATGGAACATATTTTAACAATATTGTAGCGGAACAGTTAATATTGGCGCGCTATGTTCACCGTAGTTTAGTTGGTTGGTACGCGGACTTCTGTCCGTTGTACAGCGCGCGAGTAGCGTGGCTGGTTGGTACCCAGCGCGGGTATATAAGCGCGTGTCGCGCGCGCACTCACTCTCTTCCATTTCTCTTCCATTTCACTCGTCCATGGATTGCACTCTCCCATTGCACTGCTCACGTTGTGTGCTTTAGCTGTTAATTGTGGCGCGAAGCGTAGCACAGTTCCCGCTCAGAGACTTGGAGTTGCTGGAGCGTGTGTAGTACAGCTGTGGTCAGTCTCTCACTCAGGAAGAGCACTAGTTTAGTTCCGGTGAGTGTAGGGATTAGGAAATCTGGTTGGTACGGGAAGCATTCCAGTTCTTGACGATTATTGGAAAGGGGCCAATTCTTACAATTGAGCAGGACACACCTAAGTAGGACACACCTAAGTAGGACGCACCTAAGTAGGACGCATCTTATTGGGTCTCCAAGTAGTTACAATAAAGCAGTGAAGCCCTAAATACCCGAGTGTCTGATCTATTCATTGGACGTTAACCCTTCCCCGAGTGTGTTCGTGAGGTTTGCGTGAGAGCGCGAGTGAGTGTGTTCCCTGAGCGCCTGGCGGTAGACTGCCCAAAAACGGACCTGTTCCCCTGGCCTTCCCCACAGCCGCTCGTCGGGTCGGCAGAGAGCAATATCCAAGGCATCGTCGACACAAGACCGCCACAAATGGTGTCAGAAGTGGGATAGGCGCCAGGATTACACAACACAGAACCCATCACGAACTACGAGCAAACAATCACCTACCTAGGACAGAGTCACCCAGATAGGCGTACGTCATGGAAAAGAAACAAGCAAACCAACCTAGACCGGTACTAACCCTTACCCTACTAGACCCTCCAACGCATGCCAATATGTGCCTCAAGAAAATCTCCTATGTTTTTTGCATGGCCCTCCAATATCTGCCATGTCATTTCAAGGGTAACTGGACAGGCACTCCAATACATGCCACAGAGAACAATGAAAGTCCTCTGATAACAAAGTGAGTGCCCCCAGCTGGTCAGTATCAGGCACCATCCAGGGCCTCCAACTCCTGCCAATTGGAGCCTTCACTGTCAAGATAGTTTATCTGCCAAAAAACTGCAGCTGGAGGGCATTGGCATAACCAACTGACATGCAGTAAACTACCCTCAGAGAGTAAGGGCTAATAGAGGAACTGACCGAGGACGCGGCTGAAACTTCCCAGTACGCGGAGGAGCAACAACGCCTAGAAGTTGAGACTGAGAAGCTCTGGGCAAAATTGGGTCAACTCCATGAACAGCTAGACAAACTGGAGACGAGAAGGGTGCAACTTGAAAGTCGGCAGGTGGATGCAGAGGCAGGTGCCCAAGTGGAGTTACCAACAACGAGTTTCAGATACCTTGACACTGTTAGAGATGCATCAAGTAGCCTGATATCATCGTCAACACCTATGCCAAGGTGCAGACCTACGCCAAAACCCAGAACCAGGTATCCTACACTATCGTCTTCATTACTGGTACCTACAAATACACCAGTCACATCTTCGACCTCGGTAGAAGCGTCCCAACAAGAAATCAAGAGTAATGCTGATACAGAAAAAGGGTGGTCAATGGAGAGGAATTTCTCAGCAGGTGCAGCCGGAAGAGCATCAGAGCCAGAAAAGCAAGTTTCAGGCGAGGACAGGTCTAGCCTAGATAGGCGAGAGCCGGTGGTTGAAGTGAAGAGAGACGGCCGTTCGCCTGCAGAGTTGAAGCGACCTAATATCGTACCAGATCGGTACAACGGCAAGACTGTATGGAGGGATTTTTGGCAGCATTTTGAAGCGTGCAAACTCGCTAACGGGTGGACGGACGAACAAGCTAAAGTCTTCTTGGCTGCGAGCTTGCAGGGGATAGCGGTGAAGGTGCTATCAAACAGTCCGGATGGTAGTCAAACGATGACGTATAAAGAATTAAAAGACAGGCTGGAGAGGAGATTCGGACCGGGCCAATTGTCGGAAAACCACTTGATGGAGCTGCGTTGCAGACGACAGGGACCAAAGGAAACACTGAGGGAGCTAGGTCAGTCAATCAGGGAGTTGGCCACGCTGGCATATCCTGAGATAGCAGACGAAGGGAAGGATCGCCTAGCGAGAGGTCACTTTTCGGACGCGATAGAGGACCAGGCCATCCGTGAAGGAATCTTCAGGACACAGCCAAAGACACTCGATGAGGCTATAAGGGCAGCAATGGCGACAGAGAGTTTCCTCAAGGTGGAACAACAGAGGCCCAGTCGCAACCCAAAGCAAGCACGAGTACTAGAGGGACAAAATGACTCTTCGGTGGAAAAGCTGGAAGATTTCGTAAGAAATAGCCAGAAACGGATGGCAGAGGCCATACAAAGAGCTCAAGAAGAGACAAAAGCGTGGGTGGCTAACCTGGTGCAAGGGAGACCTACAGGTGCAGGGAACGACAAGCCAAACATGACAGAAGGCGTTCCGAGTACCTCCTACAGGAGACGACCTAGAGAGGACATTGTGTGCTTCAGGTGCGAGAGGAAAGGACATTTCGCTCGTGACTGTAAATGGCCGCCAGCAAAGAGACACGGGTCGGGAAACGGATCGCAGCTGACCCCAGGGCCCGAGGGAAAGCTGGGAGGAGAAGAGGGCCACAAGACCGTCGTCCACGAGACAAACCAATAGACAAGGGTCATGTAATTACCAATTCAATTGCAACAGCAGAAAGAGTGAAAAGGGGCATGTTTGTACCAGCAGTGGTGAGGGGACAGCAGGCGAAGCTTCTGGTGGACACCGGGGCAACAGACACGTTTCTGTCATCTACTCTCTACCACAAGATCTCACCTGAGAATAGGCCTCATCTTTCTAATGAGGGTTCGTGCATTAAAAATGCTGATGGTTCGCGGATAGTGACGTTAGGTAGCGCCTGGGTGGAGTTACAGGTTGGAAGAACGACACATCCAGTGTACGCGACCTTCGGAAATTTACACTCTATGGATGGAATCCTGGGTATGGATTTTTTGTACCCAACATGCGGGTCACTCAACTTTAGGACACTTGAGCTCACAGTAAATGGAGAAAGGGTGAAATGCAGCGATGATTATGGAGCAGCATTCTGTGCGAGGATAGTCGTTGGACGGACGACCAGAGTGCCACCTGGACATGAGGCAATCTTGCAGGGACATGTTAGTGGAAAAGCGAAGCATAACGGTCTTGGAATTCTAGAGCCAGTCGACCGCAGCGAGATTGCGAACAAGGGGATGATCGTTGCCCGAGCAGTAGTTGATGCTGATCAAGAGGTGTTACCGGTTAGAGTTTTCAATCCAGGCAAGAGAGAGTGTGTAGTTCATAGGGGAACTATGGCGGGTTACCTCACACCTGTAGGTGAGAAGGAGATTGAAAGCACACGAGATGTGGAGTCACAAAAAGCGGCCCGACTAGATGTGCCCGAGCACCTTGTTGATCTGTTTAATCGGTGTAAGACGGAGGTTGATCAGGAGCACCATAGTGATATCGCGAAGTTATTGAGGGACTACCGAGACGTCTTCTCTAAGGGAGATCGGGACATAGGCCGTACAGACTGGGTCAAGCACCACATCAATACCGGTGATGCAGTGCCTGTAAAGCAAAGGCCCAGAAGATATCCGACCGTGGAGCAAGAAGAAATAACCCGACAGGTGAAAAGTCTTCTTGAAGATGGAAGAATCGAGCCATGTGACAGTCCTTGGGCCGCAAATGTTGTACTTGTAAAGAAAAAGGACGGGACGAGGAGGTTTTGTATAGATTACCGCCGCCTAAATTCCCTGACGATAAAGGATGCGTATCCGATACCGCGCATCGACGACTCATTGGATACCTTGGAAGGCGCGAAGTGGTTCTCCACTTTGGACCTAGCTGCAGGATATTGGCAGGTGGAGTTAGACGACGAGGCGCGGCAGAAGTCGGCATTTGTCGTACGGGGAGGTCTCTACTGTTGGCGAGTTATGCCATTCGGCCTCTGCAATGCGCCCTCGACCTTTGAGAGGCTGACGGAGCGAGTGCTTGCAGGCCTACAGTGGGACATTCTTCTGGTGTACCTCGACGACATTATCATATTTGCCAAGACAGTGGAGGATGAACTGAGACGCTTGAAGGTGGTGTTCCAACGCCTACGCGATGCTGGTTTGAAGTTAAAGCCGAAGAAGTGTGAACTGTTTCGGAGGCAGGTCTTGTACCTTGGACACATTGTGTCTAGTCAAGGCATAGCGACAGATCCAGAGAAGATCAGGGCAGTGCGTGAGTGGCCTACACCTAC